GGGTCACAAGGCTGCCTTTTGGGACCCCCATAGGGGTCTTCCGGCATCCAAAGCGGAAGCCTGATTCGCTTAACAACGATTCCCTTTAATACCGTCCCTTAAAGAGGGAAGCCTTAATAGTTATAGATGCTTAACAACATCTGGATCTTGCTACCTTTTCGCAAAAAGGTGGGTTTTTTTTAACGACTGACTCACATTTCTGCTTTAATTTGTTTTTACACAAGTTTGAGGAGGAAAAGATGTCCTTACAACTTGCCTTCTCCCTTACACCGCTCTTCCTCAAGGTTAGGACCCCCTGCCACTGGGAATAAACCCACCAGAGGTGAAAAGAGAGTCGGGTAGGAAGCTGACCAAACCTGTACAATGGTGGCACAGCTGGCTGTCAACGGACAGGCATTCATTTAGTCACCATTCCAAGTTACAACTTCTGTGACTTATGACCATTCTTCACGCTTATGACCGTCACAACATCCCCCAGGGATGATCCAGATCTGCATCCTTGTCAACTGGCTTGGTATTCCTGACAGATGCCGTGTCCCAGCGTTGTGCGATCACCTTCGGCGACTTTCAGATAAGCCAAGTAAATGATGAAGCGTTACCAACTTTACAAGTGCAGGGATTCACTTTAACAACCGTGTCAAGAAAGGATGTAAAATGGGACAAAACTCGCTTAACAACTGTCTTGCTTAGCGGCAGAAAGGTTGGGCTCAATGGTGGCAGGGCGTCTCCAGGGCAGGGGTAGGCAACCTTAGCTCTTTTATGACTTGTGGCTGGCTCAGGAATTCTGGGAGTTGAAGCCCACCAGTCATAAAAGAGCCAAGGTTGCCTACCCCTGGCCTAGGGCTACCTGGACGTCCGTGACGCTGGGATCCTGGAACCCCTTGAGGGACACCGTGGGAGAGGGGCCACAGCCTCCCGTCCTTTAGCCGAGGGTCACTCGACATGGAACCGTGTTTCTGGAAGAGGAGATTTGTAGTCACGGCTGGCCCGGATTTCGGGCTCCCAGGGGACTCTTCCAACCCCCAGGAGTGACCCTTGGCCAGGAAAAGTTTCCCCACCTCTCTAATGGGACCAGAGCTGTCCCCACACAACAGCATTCAACAGCAGCCTAAATCGTGACTTGATCTCCTCCCCTGGCATCTTCGTTTCCCCCCTCTCTTAAAATAACAAACCTCAAATGGGTTTCAGCCCAGAATGAAAACATTTGTATGGCTTAAAGGGGCGGCTTTCCCTTGCTCATCTCTTTCTTGTGTTCCTGGTTTTTGGGGAAACAGGAAACCTCTTAATGGCCTCTGACACGACTTAAACAAACACCTTCGTGGTCGTGCAGATCCTATCCTCCCTGCCTGCTGCGTTGCTTAGGCCCAGAGAAGGGCTCAACGTCCGAATCCAGGCCGGCCAGGAGGAAAAAAGCACCTGAAGCCACAAAACTCAGCTCTGCCCGCTGGATCCCCCTGGCCTCATCCTACCCTAGGTGTGAAAAGACGGGAGAGGGAAGGTCGGAGGCGCTTAGATCCCGATCCAAAATTGGAGCAGAGGCCAGCTGTGTGAGGTGCCCAGGTGTGTTTAGTTGTCCCTATGCAAGTTGCAGATTTTTGCAGATTGCAGAAATGTGGGGCAAATTCTGTTGTTAAGTGAGTTTTGTCCCGTTTTACGACTTTAGTGAAGTGAATCATGTTAACTCCGTCGTCTCGTGAAATGAACCTGGCTTCCCCTTTGATGTGCTTGTCAGGTCGCAAAGAGGGGATCACACAGGACTCCCTGGGACTCTGCGACCGTCATAAATGTGAGTCAGCTGTCAAGCCTCCGAATGTGAATCCCGTGGTCGTGGGGATGCTGCAATGGTCGTTAAGTATGCAAAATGGTCGTAAGTCACTTTTTTCAGGGCTGTTGTAACTTTGAATGGTCACTAAGCGAACTGTTGTAAAGCAAGGAGCAACTGTGGTTACACCTGGACTTTTTTTACTCTCCCTTGAGACTCCAATCTCCTAAGATTTTTTTTTTGAGACGTAATTATGCAACATCATATTAAACCACATTAAAGCACAACTGGTGGAGATATTAATGCAGGTCCCAGGAAGAGATCCTTCCATACATGGTTACATTACGGATGGTCCTCAGCTTACGGCCACAATTCACGCCAGACCTTCCATCCCTAAGTCAGATGACTGTTAAGTGAGTTACACCCAATTTCCTGACCTTTTTGCCAGGATCCTTGAGCCAATCCCCGTGGTCATTCAGCCAATCTCTGCCGTCTTTCAGCCTCTCCAGCTTCTCCCACCGACTGTGCTGGACAGAAGCTCCCTGGGATGGTCGCAAATGGGGATCCTGTGACCCCAGGATGGGGCGACTGTCATCAATGCACGCTGGTTGCCAAGTGCCTAAATTGCGATCACCAGCCATGACTCACTTTTTTCCAGCATCATTGTCACTCTGAATAGTTGTTAAACGAATGATTGTAAATGGAATGATTGTAAACTGAGGACTATCTATACCAGTGGTGGCGAACCTATGACACGGGTGCCAGAGGTGGCACTCAGAGCCCTCTCTGTGGGCACACGCGTTGTCGCCCCAGTCCTAGGCCTTCAGCTGGGTTTTATAAAATCTTTTCGCTTTAGGCCTCCGTCACAGTGTGCAAGATTCAATCAATCAGTCAATTTCAACTTCTCATGGAAAAAAAAGTTCTCGCAAAGTTGGAATTGATTGATTGAACTTTTTAGTCCCACCCAGTCCGCCGTTACCACCGCAGCCATGCCCACCCAATGGGCCATGCCCAGCCAATAGGCCACACCCACCTGGGTTGGCCTATTGCATAAGTGAGTTTTGCGCTGCAGTTTGGGCACTCGGTCTCTAAAAGGTTCGCCATCACTGATCTATACAGAAGCACAAGAGAACCACGAGCAACAGTATTAACTGTTTCCTGGTCTGGGATCAGAGGACAAAACTGGATTCCCATCGATCTTCTCCTTCGTTTCCCCCTTAAACAGCAGCCGTGCAATCCCACTCTCGTTTGCAGTCTGGTATGGGGTGTTCTTCTGAGGAAGAGTTTTTCCTATAGCAAGAGCTCTACAGAGTGTGCTTTTTGCCCGTGTCCAAGAAAGATCCAGCCAGGAAGCCCTTAATGCAGGGAAGACCTTCATCTTAGACAAGGTGCTCAAGAAATTGAACCGTGGCCCTTGAGCTGATTAGGGGAGAAAGGCTGGGGCAGAGAGAACAGGCTTTTGGATTTCATTAGACGAACTGGGCACTGATCTTTTTTTAAAAAAAATCTTGAGATAATATAAAAGAGAAAGATGAGGAAGCCTGATGATCAAAAGCACCGTATTAAAGAAGCTGATAAAATCTGTGGAAGGCTAACTGGTACGCACCGTTCCCTGCCCTAAGTTTCTTTCTCTATGTTCTCATGAAGGATCAACGGTCAGCCCTGCCAAAATCACTCATTCCACACACTACTTTCCTTACTTGAAAATTGCTTCCTTTAGACCAGGGGTCCCCAACCCCCGGGTCGTGGACCAGTACCGGGCCGCGGCATGCCAGCAACCGGTCCGCACAAGCAAGCAAAGCCCCATCCGTGGGATGCAGGCAGCACACAAAACCACGCACCCTCTGGTCCACGGGAAAACCTCTCTCTCCACGGAACCAGTCCCTGGTGCCCCAAAGGTTGGGGGCCTCTGCCTTAGACTGATTCTAAACCAAGCAAACCCATCATATTCTCCTATGACATATTATCAGAAATATAAACAGCCTTGACTATTTTTGTAGGGCACCTAAAGCCAAGCTGTGGGCTACCAGCCCAGACCCCCAAACTACGTGTGTAGGCACCGAGAGGGAAGGGCCGTCCAATAACTCAAAAGTACAAGTTCTGAAGACATTTAAGGAGAAGTTAGTACAGGCAATCCTCGACGTACGACTGCAATTCAGCCTAAAATTTCTGTTCTTAAGCGAGACATTTGTTAAGTGAATTTTGCCCCATTTTACGACCTTTCTCGCCACAGTTTGTTAAGGGAATCACTGCAGTTGATAAGTTGGTAACCCGGTTGTTAAGTGAATCTGGCTTCCCCAATGACTTTGCTTGTGGGAATGTTCCAAAGGGGGACGCTACGACGGGCATAAATATGAACCAGTTGCCAAGCGTCTGAATTTTGATCCCATGTTCTGGGGAATGCTGCAAAGGTTGTAACTGTGAAAAACGGTCCTAAGTCACTTTTTTCAGTGTTATTGTGACTTTGAACGGTCACTAAATGAGCTGTCGTAAGTTGAGGACTCCCTATAAGTGTAGTGTTGGGAATGCAAATAAATTATTCACAGAGGCATCCTTAAAAACCACAGGAAAAAAAATCTAGTGATTGTCATCACGGCCTGGAAAGAACGTTTCAGCACAGGATCTCTAGAAGTTTCTACTAGTCCAGGGGTAGGCAACCTCGGCTCTTTTATGACTGGTGGACTTCAACTCCCAGAATTCCTGAGCCAGCCTGGCTCAGCTTGGAAACCTCTCCTTTTCCCCTCAGCATGGCTGGCTCAGGAATTCTGGGAGTTGAAGTCCACCAGTCATAAAAGAGCCAAGGTTGCCTACCCCTGGACTAGACTATGAAGACAAAGCACAGTGATAGTGGTAGGGAAAACAATGTTGTGTGATTGATGCCGAAAACATGTTGTGATCTTTCAGTAAATGCATGAAGGCCATCAAGAAGCCCCGGGACACCCGTAAAGGCCTGTCCATCCCCTCAACACAGGCCTGTTCTGAAGAGGTCCCCATCTGGCATCCAACCACTTCTGGACCACACAAAAGAGTTCACTGTGGGAATGGAGACTTCCAGGATGGAACGTTTTGCGTGTCCTGGTACGATCCCAGCCAGGCATCTTCTGCAACGCCTCTCCCCCCCACCCCCAGGGATTTCGGTGGCGTAGGCAAGGACCTGCATTTTAACAAGTAGGGCCTGGTCCACCCGTGACCCCCTCCCCACCCCTTCTCAAAAGGCCGGGGCGCCTGAAACACTCACGCAGGTGGGCTGGCAGCCTGAGGGTCTCTTCCTCCATCCTGATGGCTCGGGGCAGCGGGACATGGAGGGGTGACGAGGAAGGATAGTCGTCTACTGGGCTCACCGGCGGAGTATACGAAATCCTTTCCTGCTGTAAAAGGGAAGAGAAAACCACGTGAATTCGGGCTAGCAAAACTAGGAGAAGTGAAAAGAAAACCCTATCGGAAAAAGGAGAAAATCTGCGTCCCCAACAAAAAGAAAACCGTATTTGTGGCACCTTCCAGAGAGAAATGGCGAGTCTTTGGGAGGTGCATGGAAGAGTCAGCCTTTTTCAAAACCTTCCCCTTTCTCTCTTTTGACTCTGTCTCCCAAGTTCAAATTCTTCTTGGTTACAGAGGGCTCCTCCTCACCAGAAGCCACATCTGATCTGAGTTACGAGATGGGAAGCCGAGGGTCGGCTTTCGAATAGCCCTGCGCATCACCTGCAAACAGGCTCTGCTCGCCACTGGGGATCCGGTATGGCCATTTACAAGCCTGCTGTTAAGTTCTGATAGGAGTAAATTATTATCAGTTGGAAGGAAGGCAGGCAGGCAGGAAGGCAGGCAAACAGAAGGGCAGGCAAACAGGAAGGCAGGAAGAAAGACAGGAAGGCAGGAAGGAAGGAAGGGAGGGAGGGAGGGAAGGCTGAGCTGTGTGTTTATGGAACAGAACAGAGAAATATTCCTTCCTGAAGTGACAATTTAAATTGATCCAGATTTTATAACCAGTCCAAGATTAAAACTTAACTACAACTGAAACAAATATAACCCATTATTTGCAGATCGTTCTCAATGGGATAAACTATTGTTTAGTGCAGAAATATGTAGCTCGTTGCTTTCAGGGATTTCCAAAAACGTCTATCAGAATGTACTAAAGGAACAGAAGAAAAACATTAAATAAATGACGGTATTATTCACATTTATTTTTGATCCATACTGTATAAATGGAATTAAACTGAGGTTTCCTCTGATTCCACCAAATATTTCAGAGACCAGCCCCTGCTTCCCCCCCCAACAACCATATGTGCCCCCTCCCAAAATCTGGAAAACGCCGGGTTTTAAGGGCAGTTTAAATAATCTACTTTGCGGAAGAACTCTCTTGTAGACCAAACTAGGTGATTGTTTCTCTAACCACAGTTGGCCAGGTTCACATAATTACACCAGGATCAAACGATACAGAAATTATGGCTAACACAACAGGGTAATCCAGTTGCTACATCCTCTAAGCTTCCAAGTGGAAAACTAGCAGCTCCAATGAAAAATACTTGGAGAAAAGTTCAACCACCAGCAAGAGTTAATTTAAAGAGATAACTGGAGTACAATTAAAAAAACAACCCAGAATCATTTCACTATTTGTAAAATGTTAGTATATTTTCCTGAAACTTTGTTAAGTATTTTGCTGCCATTAAACAAAATCATATAAATTAATTTGGGCATTCTTTGGGGGGACATGATAGCAAGTCTTCCAATATCTCAGGGGCTGACCCAAAGAAGAGGGGGTCAAGCTGTTCTCTAAGGCGCCTGAGGGCAGGATGAGAAGCAATGGGTGGAAACTGATCAAGGAGAGAAGCAACCTGGAACTCAGGAGAAACTTCCTGACAGTGAGAACAATTAACCAGTGGAACTACCTGCCTCCAGAAGTTGTGGATGCTCCAACACTGGAAGTTTTTAAGAAGAGACTGGACAGCCATTTGTCTGAAATGGTATAGGGCAGACATGTCAAACTCGCGACATCACATGACGTTGCGTAACGTATCGGGCCAGTTTTGCCATTGCCAGCAATGGGGTGGCGCGGCTTCCACGTGACACATCTGGCCCGCAGGCCGGCAGTTTGACACCCCTGGTATAGGGTTTCCTGCCTGAGCGGGGGGTTGGACTAGATGACCTCAAGGTCCCTTCCAACTTTATTATTATTATAAATGTGACCCTCCACCTTAACGCTGTGGCCTGCCAGACCCTCCCAGACCCCAAAGTGTGGAAGATCAAGACCACTGAAGTAAGCGGTCTGCATGAGGAACACCACAATCCCATCCTCGGTTGTTTAGATTTCCATGGAATTGTTGTGTAGGATAGGTTCTCCCATGAGGATGGATCACCAGCCGGTGGAGATCTTCCACTATTTTCTTCTACAATATTTAGAAAATTGAGGAGGAGAGGAAGGAGCAAGGCTGGGTCTCAGATACGGGCAGTCCTTGACTCACAATCATCCTTTTATGACCGTTCGAAGTTACAACAGCACTGAGAAAAGTGACTTAGAATGGCTTTTCACACTTCTGACTGACCCACAGTCATGTGACCAAAATTTGGACCTTTGGCAACTGGCATGTACTTATGACGGTTGCTGTGTCCCAGGGTCACGTGCTCAGCTTTTGACACCTTCCGACAAGCAAAGTCAATGGGGAAGCCAGATTCACTTAACAACTGAGGCGAGAAAGGTCATAAAATGGGGCAAAATTCATTCAATAACGTCTTGCCCAGCAATGGAAATGTTGGTGGTGGTCCAATTGAGGTTGAGGACTAACTGTACTTGAAATGTCACTCTGGAGGGGTCATCCAGCCGCTTCTTCTCTGAGGAACTAAAAAGGGGTCTCGCCTGCCTTAGGAAGGCATCCACAGCATTGCCACATCAACATCTATTAGTCAACCAAGTTCCCTCTTAAAACTACATAACACAAACATAACACTCAGAAAATGTGCAAACACTCCCATGCATAGAAGGCCTAACGAGGAAAAGGCAGTCACACCCCCATAAGACTCTTACAATCTGGAAGGAATTTCGTGGGTGCAAATCTAAATATAAATTAGATATTCGTTCAAGGTTTTTTGTCGATCGTTATGTAGAATGGCAACACTGGATGTTTCAAATAAATTGATGTTATAAAACTTATGCCTTGGGGAAAACTCCTAGAAGCTGGGAAACTGGAGTTGTAAGATGCTGGTTTAATTCAGGACAAGTTGCCTACATCATACGCTAGAACAGTGTTTCTCAACCTTGACAATTTTAAGGCATGTGGACTTCAACTCCCAGAATTCCACAGCCAGCAATGCTGGCTGTGGAATTCTGGGAGTTGAAGTCCACATGCCTTAAAATTGTCAAGGTTGAGAAACACTGCGCTAGAAAATTGCCATCACTTCCCCATAACGTTTTCGGCACAGGCCACCACAAGGCTGCTTATAAAGGAGTGTCGGTGAAGACGTTTGTCGTCCAATCTTTAAAATGCTACCTCTCCGCTTTAAAAGCCAGCCCATAATTTAGGGGAAAAGCACATGCCCCAAATAGCAGATTCTTACCCGAACCACGCTGGTTCCAGTAAAAGAATTTCCAGTCGTGGGACTGGGAAGGTTCTTTTGCCCCAGATTCTAGAAAACCACTAGCCACCTACTTCTTCTTGGTGGATCCCTTTTTAAACAGGAAAAGCTATGCTAGGAATTTATATCACTTGATTGCCTCTTAATTGCATGAGGGCTAGATAAAATTCCTCTTTGCTGCACGGAACCTCATCTTATAGGATCATCTGTGCTAGAACTGGAAAAAGGTCCCCGGCCTTAGATCGGTGGTTTTCTCTTCCGTTATTACTAACGGGGTGTAAAATATGGATTTATTTTGCCAGCATTAGTTGACTACTCTGGAAGGCCACTGGAGTGACGCTTCCACTTGAAAGAGCAGCAATAAATGCCTGCTAAATGTTTGGCAACAGCTACGACACTGTTCCTGGTTAAGACTGCAAACTACACAAAAACTACACACTATTGTCCGTTTGTGTGTGTGTGTGTGTAAAACTCCCATATATTTTTGATTTTGTCTGTATTTTTTCAACATTATTTCCTCCTAGTTTATTTTTTACTTAGTTTTGCCTTAAGGGAAAAAAATAGAGAGAGAGATTGCTCTTTCAGCTTTTGGATACGGATTTCCAGCCGCATCCCTCTGTGGATTTCCTGCTCTCTGTGACCTGTTTCGTTTGGTTGTTAAATTTGGGCCTCTGTCAACAAACAAGTACTTGGCCAAAGATTAGTTCCCTTCAAGATTTGGAGACGCCGATCAGCAGCATCATTTCAAACTTTAGCTTTCAACCGATTTTGCTGCAGAATTGGCACCCAACCAAATTTCCACGGGATTCCTCCATGTTCCCTTCCCTGGGTGGCTTGGAGGGAGACACACTCTTTCGGCTCATGGAGAAGGGAACGCTCTGTACACCACTCTGAGTTCCTGAATGAAAAGAAGAATATAAAGATAATAAATAAATACAGCTATACTCTAATCTGGGGACCAGAATAACTGGATCTAGGCAATCTCTTGCCACATCTTGCTGGTGCATTAACCCACAGCACGAACAGTCCCAAGAAAAACACAGCAAGCTCACACAGCCTCCCAAGGATTGTGTGTGTGTGTGTGTGTGTGTGTGTGTGTGTGTGTGTGTGTGTGTGTGTGTGTGAGAGAGAGAGAGAGAGAGAGAGAGAGAGAGAGAGAGAGAGAGAGAGAGAGAGAGGGAGGGAGGGAGGGAGGGAGATTAAGAATTAAAGCCGCAAGGATTCAGAGGTCTTTGCCAACTCGAATCCACTCAAGATTCACTCATCCTGTGAATCTCTGCAGCGTTCATTGGACTTGTGCAACAGCAATAGAACCTGTTGAATTACTTTCCAGCAACTCTCTCCATGCTTAGATTCTCATCTACTGTGCCAGAACAACAGAAAGCAAGTAAGTCTCAGTGTTTCTTAATGCCAACAAGGAAATTAATGTCTAAAATAAAATGCAATTCAGTATCAACCAGGCAAGGGATCAACTGCTGGAGATAAACCTGGATTCCTATCTATTCTGCCTCCTGTCTGCTAAACTCAACAGTGACCAACTTCATTGTTCAAAGGAGGTTTGAAGTTTCCCTCTTTTCAGACGGAAACAAGCCGACACTTGCTCTCTGCTACTAACAAAGCGAGAACGCAGAAACCCGCGTCCATCCCAAACGAGTATTTGAAGTCTGATAGGCATTTCTGGAGATATTGCAAATCAAAAATCAAAACTGAAAATTTTACATTCCGAGTGAGATATTCACTTCAATCTACCAGTGCTTTAGACTTGTAGTCTTTCCTAAACATTCCTCAAAGAACAATATTTTGATTTAATCGTTTACAATCTCACACTTTCAAGATATCCCGCCGTGTGTTTTGTAGGATCAGGAAAAAAAAAAGATCAAATTTATGTTTTCAATTTTGCAAGCTTGATGTTCTCGTTTTGTAACTTCATATCACCATGACCATTGGGCTTGTCTTCCACAATCCTGTCCTACTCCAGTCAGCACCCGTTTAATATACGGAAGATCCCTGTGGAGCTGTACTCTACAAATGTCATCATCTCCTCTTGCAAAGTAGTAGTAGTAGTAGTAGTAGTAGTAGTAACAATAACAATAATAATAAAGCTGGAAGAGACCTTGGAGGTCATCTAGTCCAACCCCCTGCTCAGGCAGGAAACCCTACATCAGTGATGGCAAACCTTTTAGAGACCGAGTGCCCAAACTGCAACCCAAAACCCACTTATGCATCGTCGAGTGCCGGGTGGGCGAGGCCCATTGGCTGGGCGTGGCTCATTGGCTGGGCGTGGCCCATTGGGTGGGTGTGGCTGTGGTGGTAACGGCAGACTGGGTGGGACTAAAAAGTTCAATCAATCAATTCCAACTTTGCAAGATCTTTTTTTTTCCCGCGAGAAGTTGAAATTGATTGATTGAACCTTTTTTTTTTTTGCACACGGCAGCAGAGGCCTAAAGCGAAAAGGTTTTATAAAACCCAGCTGAAGGCCTAGGACTGGGGCGACGGCGCGTGTGCCCACAGAGAGGGCTCTGAGTGCCGCCTCTGGCACCCGTGCCATAGGTTCGCCACCACTGCCCTACATCATTTCGGACAAATGGCTGTCCAGTCTCTTCTTAAAAACTTCCAGTGTTGGAGCATTCACCGCTTCTAGAGGCAGGTTGTTCCACTGGTTAATTGTTCTCACTGTCAGGAAGTTTCTCCTTAGTTCTAGGTTGCTTCTCTCCTTGATTAGTTTCCATCAGTTGCTTCTTGTCCTGCCCTCAGGCGCTTTGGAGAATAGCTTGACTCCCTCTTCTTTGGGGCAGCCCCTGAGATACTGGAAGACTGCTGTCATGTCCCCCCTTGTCCTTCTCTTCATTAAACTAGACAATACCCAATTTCAGCAACTGTTTCTTATATGTTTTAGCCTCCAGTCCCCTAATCATCTTTGTTGCTCTTCTCTGCACTCTTTACAGAAGAACCAGGATGAAAATCCCTCCAATTAAAAGCTTCCTGTGGAACTGCTGAGTACACAACCCTACCATCAATAATCAACTACTAGGGGGAGAAAAAAATCACTGTCCAACAGAGAGACTTGTAACTATCACACATTAAGCATCGGATGGGCCAATAGCAATTCATCAGTGCTTACATCACACTTGTAAACAAGCTAAAGCACATGGAGCACCGCACTGCATCCCAGGAAGCAAAAACAACTGGATTCGGATGGAAAACCTCCTTCCACTCAAGGAGGAGGAGTCCACCTCAATTTGCCAAGAGGTCTTAACTGCAAGTTGTCTGGAAGCAGAGGAGTCTCTTGACCAGAGGTCCCCAAGCTTTTGGGCACCAGGGACCTCCAGCTGTGTTCTATTCTAAAGGATTTAAATCAGGATAAGGCAAAGCTAAAAAGAGGTTGGTTGTGCAGATGTTGCGTACAGTTGCCCACTACAATGTGTTACCAATCCATTGTGTTTGCCAAGAACACCTGAGAAAGCCTAGAGAGATTTTCATTCTGCAGTCTTTGGCTCCAGCTTGGTGGGGGTGTTATTTTGCCCCCTTGCAACTGAGCCTCTTCCGTGCATCCGATTGCTAAGCTGGTTACAAGATCACAAAACCTTCTGCCTTTTTCATCAAATGGGTTTGTCTGAAAAGGGGCTACCAAGCCCCTCCTGCCGTTTCTTTACAGAAATCCCCCCCCCGTTACCCAGGCAACAGTTGATTAGACAAAGAGATCACCTCAACTTCAATGAGGACATTTTCTCCAGAGATTTTCTTGAATATGTATGTACCCCTCGTGCCATTTTATTCGGGTGCAAGCAATATTATGCAAAGAGTAGAAAAGGAGAGAGACGCAGAGCAAGCAAAGGAAATTAAGAGGAAGAAATAATAAAAAGGGAGAAAATCTAATTAAAGATAGTTTACACCAGCCACATTCACGTATCTCACTATATCTGTCCATCCTTACGAACCATCTTCGTTGCCATTTCTGGAAATTATTTCATATGTTTACAATGTCCTTTGCATTTTATTTTATTTTTTCTGCAAACTGCCTGCCAGCTGCAAGCCCAGAAAATGCAAGTTATGCCTTTGTTTGCACCTAGGAGAGGATATTGGCGGCTGCTCACGAAAGCTTCTTTTAATAAAAGGTGTTACTCAGAAAAGGTGTTACCAGACTCCTGATTGTTATTATTTTTTTGCAAACATTAGACTAACAAGGCTCTCCTCCCGCGGATATTAATAATCTATTTGTTAAATGAAGAATTGAAGCTTTAGGAGAGGCCATTCAAAAGATTTTGAAAAAGGGAGGCTTTCAAAAACAGGGAACCAAAGAAGATTAAGACACCGCTGATCTCAATACATTTCAAAAAGGACTGATGGACACGTACCAACAAAATATAGTATAACCCTCTTGTTTCATAGACGCGTATATTTTCCCTGCCTTTAAGTAAGATCTCCTTCCCAGCTGTTCTGGCCCAATGCCATTATCTGAACCGCTAAAATTGAAAAGGCATGTGGCCTTAAATCTAGGATAATGTTCCATTAATTTAAAACAGTCAAGCCACAGTTCAGTTTCACATAATGAAATACTCCCTTGCCACCTTAAGTGTACATCTTAATGCTCTTGGCACCTGCCAAGTTAAGTCTGAGGGATTCACAATGCTTTGGCCATTAGTCACGTTTCATAAATTGCATAATGCGTGCAGCACTCTTCAGACACCTGAACCATTACCGCGAACAAGGAATATGTTGTGTCTGAAACACTGAATGCAGGTATGAACATTCAACGGCACTGCTTTATTCAAAGCAAGGCAACTTTTGGGAAAGAGGTAGAGCAGGGGTCCCCAATCCCCCAGGCTGTGGCCCATTACCCGGGCCTCAGCCTGCTTGAAACCGGGCCACGGGAGAGATGGGCAAGCATGCGTGAAGCTCCACTTTCTAGCTGGGAGGGGCCAGCCCAGTGGGGGGAGAGCATGAGTGGCAGGCATCATCTTATAAAACCTCTCTAAGATCTCCAAGAATTTCGTTGCAGCCCAAACCTGTAACAACCAAAAACTACCTGACTTTCTTTTTTGTTGAACCGCCTGATTAAGATCTTTTGTTAAGATGCTTTGGCTTGGGGTTCAAAGCAAAACGTCGCTTCCATTTTTCTGCACCTGTTTTGTTAGAGGTCCATTAACCATCCTGATTTTGAAATGCAAAGCTCTGTGTCACTTGCTGAGTATAAAATTCACTGAGTCAGTTTTTCCCCGCCTCTTAGGAAGCTTTTCATAGACCAAAAGGCACAATGAAATGAAACAGCCTTCAATTCACACATCGACGTCATACTTTGAACACCAAATGGACGTTTTCACCATTCTCTACTTAGCAGGTGGGACATCACATACTGTAGCAGCCTAATGGTCAGGAAACATCTCCACCTCAAAACGGGCTGTTCTGAAGTCAAGGCAAACATCTGGATGCTTGTTGACCCTCATCAGGAGCATTCTGGAGCCCCCAATGTCCTATCTGACCCCAAACCATAAGGCAACACTGGAACACTTCTAGCAAGGGGAGAATATCCATCTCTGAATCCAAAGTGTCCATTTTGAGCTTGAAATGGGGCACTGGAAGCTAAAATGAGTTTTAAAAGATTTATACCTTAGATAGGTTAATCATTTATTTGTTCTACTTGCAACAGTACAGATTCTAATATAAAACCAGCACTAAACCCAACGAGACGAAAATCAGAAATACAGTCAAGATTTCAGTCATCAACAATGAAAAATCTGTTTAAAGCCAATTTATCTCTCAATTGCTTGGCGTCAACAAAACCAATAAAGAAGAAAGCCTGCCAAAATTTCTAGTTCAATCAATGCTGCTGGGTCCAAATTGTTACTGGGAGAAGATGAAAACACGTCAGTTTCAGAGGCAGAGCATAATGCTTTTTCCCATTTCTCTCTGAAAATTAGCACTTATGTCATCAGCATGAAAAGAGGATGGTAGTGCCAAATTCCATCAGAGAAGACTTATTATTCGGAGTGCAAGCTATTGTGCTGGAGCAAAACACTGTAGAAAAAAGGAAGAAAGTCTTCTTAATATACTAACAACTAATAATTAATGAAATTGGCCCAGATAGAATTTTACTCTTTAGTCAATGCATACACACACCCTCACATACACACACACAAAACTATTTCATATTCTGTCTTCACATTTTGTTCAAACATTCTCGTCTAAATAATAATTTATTAAACGTGATTGGCACTTGGCTGTCAATAACGCTGGGCAATTCACAACAAAGAAACTAATAAAATACAATTAATTAAATTAAATGTATTAAATTATTGAAGTTACTAAATTAAAAAAACCAAGGTAAAATTAAGTTTTAGAATAATTACATTATTTCTGCAATAATTACAAGTATTAGAAACAGTAAGTATCTAAGCAAAGAAAACAGATTGGCATTTTTATTTATGCACAGTTCGCTTATATGTGGTCAAAATAGTTGGACATATTCTATTATATGGTGGCTATTATAGGAATTTGCTATAAACTTAAACATTGATTTAAGAGAACTATTGGGGTAGAAACTGCTAAATGTCAAATTACATCATTGGTGACCATTTCCATCATCCACATCATGATATAAAGGGATAGAAATATCGTGACATGCATCATTTGTCTCACAACGTCACGGTGAAAATCTTGTAAATTGCCACAAATGGTGTAAAATTACTGTAAATGTAACTGTCCCGTCCAGAGTCCTTTGGATGCTACAGCTTTGTCTGCTATTTCAGATTCATGTCTTGACAGGAAGTTGGTATTGGCGTCCCAAGACTGCTTAATTGGAGATTTATTAATGTGAGATTTCATCAGAAGCGTATTTTAGCAAAATTTCTTGCCTCCCTTAATAGAATCTTAATAGAATCTACATCGGTGTTTCTCATACGATAGTGCTTGAAGATCTGACAACTTCAACTCCCAGAATTCCCCAGCCAAAATGGCTGGCTAGGGAATTCTGGGAGTTGGAGTCAACACATCTTCAAGCAGCCAAATTGCTGATCTACACACTAGCAAAATTTTGCAGAACAGCCTATGGGACGAAGCAAGAAACTAGGAGTTCCCACCAAGACTCAGCAGCCAGCTCTCTCAATCGTTTCACCCTCTTATTAACTCAGTGGTTCTCAACCTGTGGGTCGGGACCCCATTTGGGGTCGATCGACCATTTCATGGGGGTCGCCAAGCAAGGCTGTCCGCCATTTTTTTTGTCCGCCATTTTTTCCCCCTTTTCCGGCGGGTGCCTTACCTCCCTTGGGCTGGGCCAGCTGGTGGTCGGCCTGCTCCGTCTCTGCCGCTTGCCAGCTACGCCTCGG